GCTTAAATCATATTTTTATCGATGGTTTGATTTTGAGTTTGCAAATTGAATTTTCCTCTACAGAACGATGTAGCACGAAAACCACAACGTGAAATCACGATCGATGATCTATGTCGTATAACCCGAGCGGATGGAGCTGCTACATTCGAAATATCGACAGCCAAAAAGACATTTTATCTAACAGCAGATTCAATTGCAGCCATGGAAGATTGGGTTAAAGTTTTACAAGTAATTTCCATTTGATTTTCAATCTCAGCATTTAGGTATAATGATTATTAATCCATATTTGTCACATTTCATGTAGAATGTTCAAAGACAYAATGCTACCAAGTTGCTACTGAACAACGAAAACAATAAACCTACTATACAAGGGTGGTTAACCAAAGTGAGAAATGGACATGCCAAACGGTGCTGGTGTGTACTCGTAGGAAAGACATTTTTATATTTCAAATCATCTACAGATACGGTAAATTAAATACTAATAAATAGTGTTTTGTTTAATTGTTTAATTATTTTACACTTTAACAAAAAAACCATTTTAGAGTGCATTTGGACAAATAAACATGCGTGATTGCCGTGTAGAAACCGTTGACCATGTTTCAGACTCTGATAGTGAAGAGAGAGATTCCAATCAGCCACCGACAATAGCTTTGCACCCATCACATCAAGGTCCTCCGACTTATTTATTGATGTCTTCTAAACAAGAAAAGGTTTGATTAAAATAAATATTGTTTATATTTATTTTAATTTTTATYTACTCAGTTAATATTAGCATGGTTTTTAATATTCTTGTGATTACAGGATTCATGGTTATACCACCTTACAGTAGTTTCGGGAAGTGGATCACAATCTGGATCACAGTTTGAACAACTCATTCAAAAACTAATGGAAGCCTCAGGGGATCCAAGTAAATTCATGATTATTAATTTATAATTTTTTCTAGAACAAAAGTTCATCATTAATAATAAATCATTTCTTACAGATTGTGTGCTGTGGAAACATCCGACTCTTTTACACTCCAAGGAAGCAATTAGTACGCCATTGACTACTTTATCTATTGAATCGTTACAATACGAAGCTATTAAATTATTCAAGGTATGTGTAAATAAATAATCCAGTATCCATGTCATCGTTTTAACATTATTTTATGATTTTTGTTTCTATTAGAGTTGTCAGTTATTCATGTCAGTAGCAATCGAAAACGCTGGTATTGATTATCATGTRGTATTAGCACAAAACGCATTACAGTTGTGCTTGGACAACTGGGAACTGCAGGCTGAGTTATTATGTGCCCTAGTCAAACAGACATCTAGGCACGCGTCCCACAAACATGGAGTCCAGGTATTCTCCAAACTGCGGCATCGTGTAAGTTCCCCTTCCCATTGCTTTTTTTGAAATTGAAAAACCAGTCATGTGATCATAATTTATTATTCAAACCTTTCAAATTGCCAATAATTTTAGTGCATAGTGCATTTATTAAATAATTCAAATTTATACATAAACATCATAATYATACTATGTTCATTGGCTGTTTTTTTAATTTCTAGCTTTTATAAATATTATTATTTACTTATTTTTAACTACTCAGTGTATGTTTATTTGCTATGTATTTTTAATGATGGCTACTGTAGATC